TTATGTAATTTGAATGGGTCCAAATATTTCTTTTTTTTACCAAATCTCAGCATATGATTTTCACTAGGTTGTGTTTCAATAATAAAATTATAAAGAACTGTACTTTTTTCAAAATGCCAAAGGTAAAATATGCAGATAAGATTTATTCCCAGCAGTAAATAACTTCTTTATCAGTAAAGCTGTGTGACAGAGCAACTCCTTTGACCAAAATTTTAAAAGGATTTGGCTAAGTTTCCTGAGACAGATCACATGTGACATCCTGCTATATACAGGCAAGCATTTGCAGCTAAGGAACTGGAGCCAGAAGTACACAAAATACTGCAGGATGTCATCGATTTAGTTAATTTTATTTTTAAAAAAACTTTAAAATATAGTTAATAGTTAAACTAATTTAGTTAATTGTTGGTTAATTATTTACTTATGGATGTATTTTACAGCAAAGTATTAAAAATAACTAAAAACATACATTTACAAAATAGACAAGTGGTCCAAATATGCTAACCTTATCTGTGATTACAAGGGGGCTATCCATAGCATGCTACCTCTCAAGGATTTTTAAAATATTAATAAACATGGCGCAGCAACTGGCTTGAGCCTTTGGAAACAAAATGCAGGACCCCAAAGCAGACACCGAGTGGAATAACATCTTATGCAAAAAAGGTATCTTGCCCCTCAAGGAAAGTCAGAAAGAATTGGAAAAGGAGGCGGAAGAGGAGTAGTGCATCCTCCAGCAGTCAGTGATGACAACATATGAAGACAGGACTTTGGAAGAGCTGAAGGATCATGAAGACGAGTTTAATGAGGAGGATGAACATGCTATTGAAATGTACAGGTGGCAGACTGGCTGAGTGGAAAGCAACGAAACTGAAGAATAAATTTGGAGAAGTTCTGGAGATCTCAGAAAGGATTATGTTCAAGAAGTTACCAAAGCCTGTGAGGGCTTGTGGGTCATCTTGCACCTCTACAAAGAATTCCCTTCTGGGCCCTGATAACTCAGCACCTCAGTGGACTTGCCAGGAAGCTTCCTGATGTCAGATTTATCAAAGCCATTTCAACAACCTGCACACACAATTATTCTGATGGGAATCTGCCCACAATATTTGTTTACCTGGAAGGAGATATCAAGGCTCAGTTTACCGGTCCTCTGGTGTTTGGTGGCATGAACCTGACAAGAGATGAATTGGAGTGGAAAGTGTCTGAATCAAGGGCAATTAAGTTGGACCTGGAGGAGAACCCTAAGAAGCCGATTGAAGATGTGTTGCTGTCCTCAGTATGGCACTCTGACCCTATGAGGAGGGACAGCAATTCCAAGGGTGACTGAAGCTGCCGCTGCTATCACATGCTCATTTTTCTTGTGACAAATTGTATGGATTTTTTAAAAAAAGAGAGAAAGGAAGAATAAATCCTTCTGGTTTTTGTTTTTGTATAAATAAAATCTTTATTTTTTTTATAAATAAAATCTTTTCAAATCTTTACATTTTAGAAATAATCATTGCTGGAAATTCGGTTACATTTTTTGGAACTCTTTTTTTAAATTATAGTCGTTCCTCTAAAAATATTAAAACCAGCTATTGGTATGGAAAAATAAGTTAAAAAAAACATAGCCTATTCCTTCAAGATGAAAGTTAATGTTTCAATAGCAAATTAGAAATAATTGCCTTTCTAAGGAGACTCATGCTACTGACACAGCATTCTAGAAATATATGTAGAAATATTTCCATTGTTATGTAATTTGGATGCAAAAACAAGATAAGTGCAATTATCGTAAATTTTTTTAAATCTCCTATTAGTACATTCTAAAAATTTGGAAACAAGATTTTTAAATCAGTTTAACATTCTTCTAAACAAAAAACTTCAGTGGAATTTAAAGCCATTTTTATAACAATAAAACAGTAATACTGCCTAATTATTTGCAAGAACTGATTGACATCAAGGAAGATGGAAATCTACTAGCCAAATTTATCATAAGGGTTTTCAAAACTGGTAAATGGGAATTAGTTAAAACACCCAGTAAGGAAATTCTTCCATTTGGACGTGTGTGTCTTTGTCAAACACGTTTTATAGATGCAAAAACCATTGTAACCAAGTGCTGAAAAACTGAATTGAGAAACACATTTGAATGTATGACAAATTTTTAAAGAAAATTTTGTAAAATAGTGATGCATACTCAAATATAATTATAATTTTAGTGAGATAAAAACTTTTGTGTCATTAATAAAATAAAAATAAAACAATGATTATCATTAGCTCAGCCTTCTTTTTTTTTTTTGAGACAGAGTCTCTCTCTATCACTGGGCTTGGGTGGGACAGGGGTACACTCTCGTGGCCAAGATAGTCTCCATCTCTTGACCTCATGATTCTCCTTCCTTGGCCTCCCTAAGTGCTGGGACTACAGGCGTAAGCCACCGCACCCAGCCAGCTCAGCCTTTTAGGGTTATAATTGGTATAGGTTTTATGATATGCATAATAGATATTGACATAGCAGTTTGTCTATAATTTGCACATGAGTAAAAATACGTATAGTGAGGATACACATTCAAAATTATTTTACTAACAGGGGCATGCAAACAAAAAATTTTGGAAGGCAGTGCTATTCATGATGCATTCTGTGAACCCACAGCATCAGTGTAACATGTGACATTGTTGGAAATGCAAATTCTGGGGCTCCAGCCTAAACCTACTGAATCAGAATCTCTAGGAGAGGCGGACAGGAATATGGGTTTTGACAAGATCTCAAAGTGATTATCTAAGGCATGACACAGATCTAATGAAGACACTCCTCTTTAAAACCTGCCTGCTGCTTATGAAATTGAAGCAGCCTTCTCACCATATCATTTAAAGGCTCTCCAAATACAGCCCAGCATCTCTTAGGGGCCTGTGTCCATGACTCCTTGCCAAGTTGGAAGCCCCAGGTATTCTTGGGTGCACCCTTCTCTCCTCTCCAATTTTCTTCACCTGGAATTCCTCCCCAATCTGATTATGTCTGCTTAACCAAAACCTTTACAATCTTACAATGTGTACTTCAAAAGTGACCTATTTTAAGAAAACCTGCATGATGTTACTGAAGAAAGAAATATCTACATATCCTTCCTGCCCTCCGTATTTTTAATGATGCCCATGGCATCTTGTTTGTTCATATCCCCCTGGACTGTATTGCATCATGCATTATAACGATTTGCATCTTATCTAACTCCTTCTAAAGATTGTAGGCTCCTAGAGAGGAGACTTGCTTAATCTTTCTTTATTCCCTAGCTTAGCTTGGGCCTGGAAGGCTCTAATTGCTAGATACATAATTGAAATAAAATTCCACAACTGAGCTCAGCCCACACTGTTTTCTTCCTTTATCACTCTATTGGGGCCACTACCTCATCATGAAGAACCTGAATTTCTCGAGAACTTTCCACATACTTGGGTCATTAATTGGCTTTCTCGTCCCCTCAGACTGCATTTCTGAGTTGCAAAATCTGTCCTGATCACTTAGTCATGATTGCAGTTTAAACACTAGAAAGCAATGATTTAAAAAAAAAAAAAAAGGTTGCTGTGTTTGAGGTCTTATCAGTGCCAGATACTGTACAAATTGCTTTAGAGCATTATCTCATTCAGTCCTGACAAAACCTCCATTTGGTGGACACATTACCTCTCCCATTTTACCACATAAGGAAACTGAGGTGCAGAAAGGGCTAATAGAGTAGTAGGACCAGGATTGGAATCCAGGCTGCTGACTACAGAGCCTGCAAAATCAACCTCTCCATTACCCTGCTAAGGATAGAAGATACTACTCCACACCCATCCTTATATTAAATGCAATTCCTAGTCCTCCTAACCACATGAAAAATCACATGCATTAGAGTCAGTCTTGATGACAATCTAAAAACTATGATTCTACTATGTAAGTTCAATTTAAATCTAGATCAAAGAAATCTAAATTACTCTTCATTTGGGCTATAATCTTATATTCCAAAGCTTAAATGCCTATAAGACAGCTTTATCTAATTTAAGATTACTAGCTCAAATATAAGTACAGACTTAATACTATTTTTCCTCTAAAGTAATCAGTACAAAGAGTTCTATTCTTCCCATAGTAAAATATGTCATAGAACTTGAACTACTAGGCAATCACCATCTTTTCTTTATAAGAAAAAAAAGCCTTTGAAATATGTACCATAACCTCTGAAAAATACAATTATCCTCCCAAAGAAATTAGGCATTTTTTTTCTGACAAAAACTATGGGCAATTGATCTATAGTTCCTTTCTTCCTCGAAAAATTATTGTATATTGTGTAATGATCATTATAATTAAAAATTAAGATGGCTTGCGATAATTCCACCATTATTTGATTCAAAATCTTTATAAAATATTGGCATTTTCCAACATTTATTTTTCCTGTCTATGTTCCATTTAAGGCCAAATTTTCAAACCCAGCTGCCAAATTACACATATAATTACTGCATTTGCGCACAAAAATGTGATAATTGCTTACACAATTTCAGAGGCCAGCTTGAGGCTCCTTTCCAAATTTGTTTTACATGTACAGTGCGGTGTAGTAGTTTTATATGAAAATTGGAAAAGTAAAATTCATGGTTTGTCTGGGTGATGTGTGAAAATGGATACAAAATAAAGCCTTTCTATAAATGCCTGGGCCTGTCTTCATATTTTCTCCCAATAGACCTTTATAAAAATTTTATAAAGCAGCTCAAATTTCAGCTGCTATTGGAATAACAGCAATGAAAGGGGATGATGCCTGGTGCAATGCCTTAAATTGTTCAGGTGCCCATTTTGTTGGTCAACATAGTGTCATGAGGCATTCTTCTGTCTATAAACTGCTCCCATAAACCCAGGCAAGAAAGATAAAGGTGATACAAGGCCCGCAATCATACAGTCAGCCAAGATGACAGCAGCCTCAATAGGGCAGAGTAGTTGTGAGTATTAGGGAAATAATACATAATTTCCCCTCCGACTTTGCCTGACAGTTGATTTTACAGTTTGGCAAGCATCCACTATGGATATAGCTCACAATGGGTATCCCTAGTGGAAGCTTTGGTTCAAGAAAAGGCAAAGAAACAAGACCTAGCTAGTCATACACATTAGTGAGATAATCTAAGATATTTTTGTTTCAAAGCAAAAGTAGGGAAGAAAATTATGGCCAGTTGCACATAAACTGGTACCTATGCTCAAATATGTACTTTCCAAACTCAAGGATTATGAATCTGATCTCTGACTATTACTAAATATCTGACTACAGAAATGACCAGAAGCAATTAGGTCAGAAGTCTATTAAATACTGAAGGACATTCTATTTGAGAAATTTCCAGCTATTTTCCATAGAGGTGATACTAACCATTCCCACCAACAGTGTAGAACTATTTCCTTTTCTCAAATAACTAAAAATAGAACTACCATGTGACTCAACAACTCCCCCTACTGGGTATCTACCCAAAGGAAGAGAAATTGTTATATCAAAAAGACACCTTCACTCTTAACGTTTATTGCAGCACCATTCACAATAGCAAAGTTATGGAATCAACCTACATATCCATCAACAGATGATTGGATTTTTTTAAAAGGTGGTATAGAGTGCTCACAGTGCGCAGGCACAGGGCCCTCGCCCTGTCAGTCGGCACTGAGTGCCGGCAGGGGGCTCTGTGGCCACGGTGCGGGCAGCGGTGGCAGCGGCTGGACTCCCGCACTACGAGCGGCCTCAGCACCTAGGAGAGCGCCGCGCCCTTCTCTCTGGAGTACCAAGCCCTCCTCAAAAATGAGAAAATTCAATATATATCTCCATTTCATGTTGTTCCAATTTTTGCAGGTAAGGATGAGTTCCACATGGTAGTTGAAGTACCACGCTGGTCTAATACAAAAATGGAGATTGCTACAATGGACCATTTAAACCCCATTAAACAAGATGCGAATAAAGGAAAACTTCATTATGTTGTGAATTTGTTCCCCTATAAAGGATATATCTGGAACTATGGAGCCATCCCTCACACTTGGAAAGACCCAGGGCGCAATGATAAACCTACTGGCTGTTGTGGTGACAATGGCCCAATTGATATGTGCGAAATTGGAAGCAAGGGATGTGCAAGAGGTGAAATAATTGGCGTGAAAGTTCTAGGCATATTGGCTATGATTGAGGAAGCGGAACCCGACTGGAAAGTCATTGCCATTAATGTGAATGATCCTGACGCAGCCAATTATAATGATATCAATGATGTCAAACAGCTGAAACTGGCTACTTAGAAGCTACTGTGGACTGGTTTAGAAGGTACGAGGTTCCTGATGGAAAACCAGAAAATGAGTTTGCTTTTAATGCAGAATTTAAAGATAAGGTTTGCAATTTATATTAAAAGCACTCATGATCATTGGAAAGCATTAGTGAGTAAGAAAATGAATGGAAAAGAAATCCATTGCATGAATACAGCTGTGTCTGAGAGCCCCTTCAAGTGTGATCCCGATGCTGCCAGAGCCATCGTGGATGCTTTACCACCACCCTGTGAATCTGCCCGCACACTACCAACAAAAGTGGATAAGTGGTTCTATCACCAGAAAAATTATTGAGATTTCTCTGGAATACACACTGATATTGCTGCATTGTATTCATCTGGACAGGAAAAGTAGTAGCTTTCCAAAGCTTTAAATTTGTAGAACTCATCTAACTAAGGTAAATTTTGCTGTAACCAATTCAATATACTCAGAATGTTATCGTCTAAAGCATTTTTCATATCTCAACTAAGATAACTTTTAGCACATGCTTAAATATCAAATCAGTTGTCACTTGGAAGTCACTTGTGAATAGATGTGCAAGGTGAGCACATATTGGATGTATATGTTACCATGTTAGGAAATAAAATTATTTTGCTGGAAAAAAGTGGTATATAGCATTATGGAATACTATTCATGCATGAAAAAGAATAAAGTAATGTCTTTTGCAGCAACATGGATGGAACTGGAGGTCATTATCGTAAGCGAAATAACTCAGAAACAGAAAATCAAGTACCACATGTTCTCACTCATAAGTGGAAGGTAAACAAAGTATACACGTGGACACAAAGATGGAAATCATAGACACCAGTGAATCCAAAAGAGGGGAGATTTCAGAGAAGGGTGATGGTTGAAAATTTACCTATTTGGTATAATGTTCCCTATTCAGGTGATGGCTACACTAGGAGCTCAAACCCTACTATATGCAATGTGTCCACGTAAAAAACATGCGCATGTACCCCCTGAATCTCTAAAACCAAAAAATAATTGAAGGACATTCTCCTGCCAAAGACACCCTGAAAGTATCATGTTATCCTCCCCAATGGCTAGTTAAAATAATCATAACTAACATTTCCTGACCACTCAATATATGTTAAACAATGTTCTAAGAATTTTGCATGCATTCATTTCCTCTTTGCATGCTTACTAATTTTAAGAGGTAAGTACTATTATTGTCTTCATTTTACATCTGAGGAGACTGAAGCACAAAGAGTTTAAGAAACTTGTTGAATGTCATACAATTAAAAAGTCACAAATTCAATATTAGAACCCAAGCATACAATTAAAAAGTAGCAAATCCAGCCAGGCCTGGTGGCTCATGCCTGTAATCCCAGCACTTTGGGAGGCCAAGGCAGGTGGATCACTTGAGCTCATAAGTTCCAGACCAGCCTGGCCAACATGGTGAAACGCCATCTCTACTCAAAATACAAAAATCAGCCAGATATGGTGGCATGTGCCTGTAATCCCAGCTGCTCTGGAGGCTGAGACAGGGGAATTGCTTCAACCCGGAAGGTGGAGGCTGCAGGGAACCAAGACTGTGCCACTGCACTCTAGCCTGGGTGACAGAGCAAGACTCCATCTCAAAAAAAAAAAAAAAAAAAGTAGCAAACCCAGCATTAGGATCTGGGCATTCTGACTCCAAAGCCTTTACTTTTAACCTTAACAACATACTGACTCCCAGACGGAGCCAAGGAAAAGAGGGGACAAGGATAACCTAAAAAATAGAAGACTTTGAGCAGCCAGCATGACCATCTAAATAATTCACTACTGGAATGTAGTCCCCACCACTTCTGCCCAGCAGGAATGACACTGTCATAGACTAATGGCCACTGTGGGTTGTTTCCCACTCTTCTCTTTTCCAAATGGAAATTTCTTTAAAGTTATCCTGTCCTTTATATGTTTATATGGATTGTGTTATAGAGGGATAACATATTAACAAAAGTCTCTAAACTATGAAAAGTTTCAACCAGACATGAAGAAGAGGATCACAATTCACCCAGAGAATCAAAACTTGGAGCTAACACACTAAATCTTGAGTTGTCTCTAGTAGGAAAACATAGGTTTTTCTGAGAGTATGGACAGAAAGAAGGGTTTGTATGAACACTGGCCAGCCAAAGAACAATCATTGGTAATTTATCCAGCAACCAATTCCCCCTTTCTAAAAATATCTACCTCTTTCTCAGCAGGTTCATGGGCTTTGGGGACCTGAACCTCATGGCCAGTCCAAGAAATGAATGAGCCCGGATTAGTATGCCAATCAGAATAATCTTACCTTATCCTCACATCAACCTTGACATGACAATTGGCTTAAGAATGGTCAGTAACCATTCCTGGATCCAAGATGGCCAAGTAGGAGCAGCTCTGGATTGCAGCTCCCAGTGAGCGCGTGGAGGGTGAGTGGCCACTGCATTTCCAGACAGCTTTTTATTGCCCACAGACCAAGATATTCCCGGGCGGAGAAGCCCCACGGGTCTCCACCGTGGCTGTTTGAGCTGGCAAGGTGGCTCTCCACTCAAAAACCTCACACAGGTCTGGGCACCATTTCAGCTGGCAACTGGAGTGCCTGGGAGACAGTCACCCATTCAACTGATAAAAAGGGGACGGAAATAGAGAGCCAAGCCAGGAGATTCCCAGGTGAAAAAGTGCCACAAGTCTCCAGCGCAGCTGTTTCAGCCAGCACAGTGGGTCTCCACACAAAATCTCACACAAATCCGGATGCCTTTTCAACAGGTGACTGGAACACCTGGGGGACAGAGCCGCCCATTCAACTGATAAAAAGGGGACTGAAACTGGGAGCCAGGCCAGGAGATTTCTGGGGGGAAAAGCGCCTCCAGCACAGCCAGGGCAGTGGGTCTTCACACAAAATCTCACACAAATCCAGGCGCCTTTGAAACTGGCAACTGGAATGCCTGGGAGACAGAGTCGTCCGTTCAACTGTTAAAAAGGAGACTGAAACAGGGAGCCAGACCAGGAGTATCCCGGGCGAAAAAATGCCAGGAGCCCCCAGCGAGGCTGTTTCAGCCAGCGCAGTGGGTTTCTGCACAAAAACGCACACAAATCCGGGCGACATTTCAACTGGCAACTAGAACACCTGGGAGACAGAGTCACCCGTTCAACTGAAAAAAAAGCAGTCTGAGGCAGGGAGCCAGGTGATCAGGCACGGCTGGTCCCACCCCCACAAAGACCAGCAATCTGAAATGCTCTGGATTGAGAGTTTCACAGCAGGCACAGCTGAACTCGGGACAGTCCAGCTCTGTGGGGGAAGGGCATCCACCATTAGTGAGGCAGTCCACCACTACCAAGGTAGTCCGCCATCGCCGAGGCGGTCCGCCATTGCTGAGGCAGTCCGCCATTACAGAGGCAGGCCACCATTGCCAAGGCAGTTCTAACTATACCCCTAACAAACAGGACTGCAGGGAAGTTCACACGGCAGCTGGGCAGAGCCCACAGCAGCTCAGCAATGCCTCTACTGGCAGACTATGACTAGGCTGCCTCCTTGCTGGGGAGGGCATCCCTGAAAAAAGGCAGCAGCATGACAGAAACTTATAAATAAAGCCCTGCCTTCTGGGGACAGAGCACCTGGGGAAAAAAAGGCTGTTATGAGTTCTGCTGCAGTAGACTTAAATGTACCTGCCCAGCAGCTCTGAATGGAACAACAGAGCTCACAGCTCAGCACCTGAGCTCCCACAAAGGACAGACTGTATCCTCAAGTAGCTCCCTGAGCTCCATATATCCAAATAGTCACCTCATAAAGGAGAGCTCAGACTGACATCTGGCAGGGCAGGTATTCTTCTGGGACAAAGATAGCAGAAGAAACTGGCAGCAACCCTCACTGTTCTGCAGCTGCTGCAGGTGAGCCCCAGGCAAGCAGGGTCTGGAGTGGACCTCCAGCAGTCCTACAGCAGAGGGGCCTGACTGTTAGAAGGAAAACTAAGAAACAGAAAGAAATAACTTCATCATCAATAAACAGGATGTCCACTCAGAGACCCCACCTGAAAGTCACCAACTACAAAGACCACAGGTAAATAAATCCACAAAGATGGGAAGAAACCAGTGCAAAAAGGATGAAAACACCCAAAACCAGAATGCTTCTCCTCCTCCAAGGGATCACAACTCCTCACCAGCAAGGGAACAAGACTGGATGGAGAATGAGTCTGACGAATTGACAGAAACAGGCTTCAGAAGGTGGGTAATAAGAAACTTCTCTGAGCTAAAAGAACATGTTCTAACCCAATGCAAAGAAACTAAGAACCTTGAAAAAAGGTTTGACGAAATGCTAATGAGAATAAACAGCTTAGAGGGGAACATAAATGAATTGATGGAGCTGAAAAACACACCACAAGAATTTCGTGAAGCATACACAAGTTTCAATAGCCAAATAGATCAAGCAAAAGAAAGGATATCAGAGGTCAAAGATCAACTCAATGAAATAAAATGAGAAGGCAAGATTAGAGAAAAAAGAGTAAAAAGAAATGAACAAAGTCTCCAAGAAACATGGGATTATGTGAAAAGACCTAATCTACATTTCATAGGTGTACCTGAATGTGACAGAGAGAATGAATTCAAACTGGAAAACATTCTTCAGGGTATTATCCAGGAAAACGTCCCCAACCTAGCAAGAGAAGCCAATATTCAAGTCCAGGAAATACAGAGAACACCACAAAGATATTCCTCAAGAAGAGCAACCCCAAGGCACATAATCATCAGATTCACCAGGGTTGAAATGAAGGAGAAAATGCTAAGGGCAGCCAGAGAGAAAGGTCGGGTCACCCACAAAGGGAAGCCCATCAGACTCAGAGCAGATCTATCAGCAGCAACCTTACAAGCCAGAAGAGAGTGGGGGCCAATACTCAACATCCTTAAAGAAAAGAACTTTCAACCTAGGATCTCATTTCCAGCCAAGCTAAGTTTCATAAGTGAAGGAGAAATAAAATCCTTTATGAACAGGCAATTACTCAGAGATTTCATCACCACCAGGCCTGCTTTACAAGAGCTCCTGAAAGAAGCACTAAACATGAAAAAGAACAACCAGTAACAGCGACTCCAAAACGTACCAAATGGTAAAGAGTATCAACACAAAGAAGAAACTGCATCAAATACCGGGCAAAACAACCAGCTAGCATGAAAATGGCAGGATCGAATTCACACATAACAATATTAACCCTAAATGTAAATGGGCTAAATGCCCCAATCAAAAGACACAGACTGGCAAATTGGATAAAAAGCCAAAACCCATTGGTGTGCTGTATCCGGGAAACCCATATCATATGCAAGGATACACATAGGCTCAAAATAAAAGGATGGAGGAAGATTTACCAAGCAAATGGAGAGCAAAATGAAAAAGTAGGAATTGCAATCCTAGTCGCTGATAAAATAGACTTTAAACCAACAAAAATCAAAAGAGACAAAGAAGGACATTACATAATGGTAAAAGGATCAATGAAACAAGAAGAGCTAATGATCCTAAATATATATGCACGCAATACAGGAGCAACCAGATACATAAAGCAAGTTCTTAATGACTTACAAAGAGACTTAGACTTCCACACAATAATAGTGGGAGATTATAACACTACACTGTCAATATTAGACAGATCAAT